CATATACAAAATTAGAGATACTAATTCAGGATAAAATATTAATTATTTTATTTTGTATTTGGTGAGAGGGGTTAAATTAGAGAACTTATCTAATTATACAAATATTTCTAATATATTTACTTTTTTCCTATATTTTGAAATAATTATATTCTGTATCATTAATTAGTGACGTCAAACTTGATTTTAAGTTAGATTCACCAAGATTCATATTTATTCTACCATATACACAAAAATAGGTAGAAAGGCGAGTATCAACGGGAGGGAAGCGGGCGAGATTTGTCGATGTATCTCAGATACATACAAATCACATTAGATACACACTAGATACATGTATACGTATGTATCTAGTGTATTTTACATGTATATGAGATATCAAACACATAGGAGAGTTGTGAGCATGATGGGAGGGAGGCGAGGGAGAGTTGTCTATATATTCAAGATACATGCAAATCCACTTGGAACAGTATATCTAGAAAAAATTGCGCATAATTATGTGTATCCTGGAGATACGTACATCTGAACGTATCTGAATGTATCAAAATCTAGTCAAATTTGAAATATTATAAATTAGCGTTTATCGAAATAATTAACTCATAAACTAGTGAGATATCTTTAAGTTCTCCAATTAGATTAGTCTTGAGATTATTTATTTCCTCATTTAAATTAAAATAATAAAAAATAATAAGTGACTTGATAAAAAAATCCAAATTTTCTAGCAAGTGTGTCGTTTTTTTTACCCGATTGCCCAAGGCGAAATCTTTCGATACAAATGGAAGCAAAATAGGTTTATATGTTATTACATTAGTTTTATATTTCCATATTTTATTTTTAAAAAATATTATATGAAGCAATATTGGATGATATGTTTTCATTAACGTGTATTAGTCGTTGGTGGTGCACCCATCATTTTCAAATTCTGAATATAAGAATATAGGAACTTCAAAGTCATTAGGACAAATTCTGATAGTGTTGTTTGGTACAAAATATAAGATGGGATATGACAAACCAAATTATGTGATAGGATATATCAACAAGGTAATTACTCGAGTTATGGATAAGCTATCATGACTTGGGGTACCAAGTATTATATAGATGACTTTCAAAGATTGGCAAGAGCAAACCATCAAATTGAACCAAATAACTTTTTCACAAATGAACAAAGTATTCCTCCTCTTTGTTGTAAGTAACATCTTGACTTTTCTCTTTTTTCGAGTTCTATAAGTTAACTTCTTTTTTTAAGTTTTAACAAAACCCGCATCAGCTTTATTACAATCTTTTTACCATCATATAATCTTTTCTTTAACTCTACTTCGACATGACCGATGTCGTTCTGCAATCAGTGGCGTACACATATTTATTTCAAAGCAAGGACAAAAATGACTCAAGAAAAAATCAATGAAGCTTTAGATTTAGACTTCCAAAAAATTGAAGCCCATTAATAGAGAACTTGAAGAAAAAAAAAATTCAATTAAAAATATAAAATTTTAATTAAATTAAAAATAACAATGGTTTTAAATTGGATCGCTCACACCTTCATATTATTAAATAAAGTTTTATTCAATATTATATAAATGATTGTATTTCAACTAAGATTAACATCTTTAACAGAAAATGGAAAAAAAAGAAGAAGTTATGGGACCTTATATTTAAAATTGGTTTAAAACACTAATTCTGATGGAAGACCTTTGTTAAGAATACCAAAAAAATAAAATACATTGTAATAATTAATATTATATTAAAAAGGATGGTTCAAATAATATTAATAAAACTAAACTTAAATATATTCTACCATTCTCTCCGAAGAGATTTCAAATATTTTGAGAGGTATATATAATATTATCATTAAAAACACGACTATATATATATATATATATATATATATATATATTTATATATATATATATATATATATATAAATTAGGAGAGAAGGAAAACAAAAGCGTACAAAAAAATTCCAACTCAGGATGCAAGACATCCAATGCAATGCAGCGCCATTGCCAATTGCACTCCCTTAACATAAATCGACTCCTCTCTGCAATCATCATTGTAGCTTCATAGTTGTGGAGGTTGAAATTGATAGTGTGTCGGTTGTTTCCAAAGACACCGATCATGTCGAAGCGAGTGTATTTCTTTTTATGATATGCCAAATTTTTCAGATTGTAATGATTAATGACGAGGATATTATAAAAATTTAAAAGAGAAAATTAAATTTATTCAGCAAAAAGAGAAAAGTCAAAATAGTAATTAATGGGTAGGCTTTGGTCTTTTTTTAAATTTATTTAATTGTGAATATAATCATTGACAAACAAATACATACAAACTAAAGAAATAGACCATCTCCCAATAAGGGAGCCCAATCCAAAAGACTTCAAACTAGAAATAACTTATTACAACTTTCTATTGCCAATAAGTATATTCAGTTACAAAATTGTTGAATCAAATAAAGACATTTATTACTTTCGTCGTTTCATATTAGATGAACATCTTACTAAACTATTTGTCACATTTTACTTTATCATTTAAAAAATTAGGATAAAATTAATTAATTTTTTCTCATTTTACCCCTATAACTAATATGACCTTTGGATGTTTAAAAAGAATTTGAAAATCTATTTTTTTCAAAGACTAATTAATAAGAACAAGGACGAAATAATAAATTTAATTAATCTATTAATGATTCCTTAATCATAGTGTAAAAAAAGTCCATCTAACATGAGAAAGGAGAAAGCAACTTTTTTGAAGTCTTCATATGTTCAATCTGTTCTTAGTAATTGAGCCTACTCATCAAACTTATATTTAAAAAAATAACAATATTTATAAATTACGAGGAATAAAAAAAGAAAAACGACCAAAGTCATAAATTAATAACAATCTTGACCATTCTCTCATTTTAGACCAATAAATTGAATTTTCTTTCACTCAAGTTTTGATAAAAGTGCATTATTTTTATTATAATCTAGAAATTTTGACTTATTATAAAACCCCATTTCACTTTACTTGGACATGATCAATTCATATGCAATTATCATCATACTACCGTCATTAGTGCACCCTCTGTCATACACTGCTTCATCGATGCAAGCTCAGTGTACTCTATGTCATACATTATTTCACCGCTTGGACAGTCGAAAGGTTGTTGCATCAATGCCCTCACCAAGTATGTGTACTAGATAAAATCACGCACAATGCTCATCAGTGATAACCCCCGCAAACTTATCTAATCTCATACTTAATATTAACTTACTAGTAAGTCAACAACTACAAACTCACGAGCAAAACATAAACCATCATTCAATGCTAAATTAGCAACATTCTTATTGCACCATGCGACCCCAATGTCCTTTACTATTTCCCTTATACTACTCCAACAAAAGTTATACAAAGAATCTTCAAGCGCAACAGCTCAACTCAATAACTTACATAACACTAATAACAATCGAGCAGGTTCATTGTATCTCTTCATTGATGAGTGTTAATGTGTATATGAAGAGATACAACGAATGTGCTCGATTATTATTAGTGTTCTGTAAGGCATTGAGAAGATTTCTTGCGCACGAGGATCCATTGTATAACTTTTGCGGAGTAGTATAAGAGAAAATAGTACAGGCCATTGGGATTGCAAGGTGCAAGAAGAATATTGCTAATGAATTTTTCGCATTGAATGATGCTTTTATGTTTGTTTGTGAGTTTGAAGTTGATGATTTATCTACTAAGTTAGAATCGAGTAATGAGTTTACGGGCTTATCACTGATGAGCAATGGGTGTGATTTTACCTAGTACACGTGCTTGGTGAGGGCATTGATGCAACAACCTTTCGACTGTCAAAGAGATGAAGTAGTGTATTAGAGAGACTCAGAGAGTACATTTGATCAACTTGATTTTATTCTTAATGACTTCTACCGAGTCGATAGAATGGGCTAGGATTTCATTAAGACATAAGAGTGAAGATCTAATTTATATGATTTGAAAGAGATATTTGTCAAAATGATTATTAATGTATATCTTAGACTTTTTTATTCTTTTTTCCCCCAATGAATTAAGAATATTATCATTGGACAAACAAATACACGTAGTCTTATACTACTTTTCAGAAAGCCCAATCTAAAAGACCTCCAAAATAGAAGGAATTTATTATAATTTTCTATTACGAGTAATCCTACTTATTTAATTATAAAGTTGTCGAATCAAATAAAAATATTTATTAGCAATTTTTTGAGTTCTTCATATATGTTCAAACCTTTCTTTAATCTCCCTTTGTATTTGTATACTTGCACCTTTCTTGTCTACTTTTTTGGTTTCAAACATTGTAGGTTATTTGCTTTTTTATTTGTATTTATGTACTCCAAATAGTAACTTTAAATTCATTTATTTGCTTCAAGTGCCTTTCATTGATCTAAAATAAGTACTAGTAATCAACATCATCTTTTATAACCTAAACCTTGCTAAATTTTTAATGTTCTCTTTGTATCTGTTACATTATGTGAACGAGTAGTAATACGGATTAAAGTTAAGTATTAAAGTTCAATATTTAACAATTATGACAACAAAAAATTGTGATGTTTTGTTTATAGTCTCTCTGCATACATTATGACTATAAAATTTATCTCATGAATTAAATAATCGATACTATTATCAAATTGCTGCAATTAAATGGGTTATTTCATAGTAATGTTTTTTTCAAAAAATGATAAATACTTCAAAGATTTACAAAAATTATAAAATAAAAGTACTTTGTCATTAAAAAAAAAGATAAAACAAAAGTGTTAATTAAAACGATCTCATAATTATAGATCTATTAATGAAAATTTGCAACCATAAACATTTAAAGAGGGTGTACAAGGACCCGACCCTTTTAGGAGATATGTTTCGGGAATAACAACTTCTTTAAAAATTTAGTGAATTTTTAATTTTAGATTTCAAACCAATAAAAAGATCGTTTAAACAAAGGAAAAGGATATAGATTAATGGTGAAAATTAATAAAGAAGATAGATGGGTTTACCTTTTTAGACAAAAGACGTATGAAGGATCGATGTTTTTGAGGCCATCAGTAGTAAAAATCGCATGGACAAAACATGAATCATAATGATTATTACGTGTTTTTCCTTTTCAATTTGAAGCTTTAGTAGAGGAGATGACCTTTTATTGTTCTATCAAAACAGTGTTGGTAACCATTTCATCCATTGGAGCAAATATCTGCAAAAGAGGAAAAAGAGGTCAGAACAAATAAGAAAAAGGGAAAAATTCAAAAGATAGTGGATGTCCACCTCTGACACCTAAGAACGATGAATTGTGGTGTAAAGAGGACGAAGACATGATGATCCATCGCATAAGAAGGAGGAAGGTGGAATTAGTAAAAGCACCCTCCAGCGGCGACATTGGAGAGGAAAAAAAGAGAGTTCAATTAAAAAACCCTAGCTATCTAGGGTTATATTTAAGAAGGGGTGGTCCGTTCAATTTTTAAATTGGGCCCAATATTTTTTTGGGCTCATTGGGCTTATTTTGTACGAAATTACTAATTCAACAAAGAACTTCAAGCTTAGATATATAACAAAAATAATGGTTTATATGGCTTTGAAAATGAGAAAAGGACTATGTGAAGTTTATAAGAGTGGCAACACTAGCGTTAATCGATTTATTTGGATAAAACCAATAGATCTCGTTAAGAGTGATTTGGTTAAGGTTGTTATGTTGTATTTGGACAAGAGGATGAACGTGAGAAATAAGGGTGTTTAAGGGTGATGAAGTTCGAATAAGTGGGTCAGATCATCAGACTTCTCAGATTTGGGAATAAAATGACCTTTAATTTTACTGAAAAATGATAATGTTTACAATTTATCGGGAAAAAAGAAGATTAAAGCCAATACATTAATGAACATTCTCTATTTTTAGTCCTATAATTTGAGTCTTTTCTCTTAAGTTTTTAAAAACACACTTGTTCTTTTTATTAAAAATTTTAGCTTATCATAAAACCCTTTTTCACTTTACTTTAAATCATCGATGCCATATACATATATATAATTCAAATTTTGTTGATTATTGAAGGACCAAAGCTATTGACAGTGTAATTCTTTAGACTATTTGAATACTTAAAATTATATTTTAAGGTTTTTTATATAAAAATACATTATATAATCACCACTAGAACTATCTTCCCATTTTTTTAAGACAATTTTTATAACGACCTGTTTAGTCGTTTTGAGCAGAAAATTTTAGTTCTGGAAAAACAGGCTGAGACGACGGAACCCACGACGGCCCTTCATGGACACGACAGACCGTCGAGGGTGTCTCGTTTCAAAACACTTAGAAACTCTGAAAAATGGGTACTGAAATCGACTCTCTTAACTTCGTAACGGAATAGAAGGACGGACCGTCACAAGCGTAACGGACCGTCACAGACTCTTCAGAGAATTGAGTCTCTGAACTCTGTGACGGAGCAGCAGGACGGACCGTCGCAGGCGCGATGGGCCGTCACAGGCTGCGTAATCCCAGGCTGGGTCGGATTTCTTTAAATGTTTTAAGGGGCGTTTTTGACTATTCCTGCTTTAATTATAAAGTTAGTGGGTTAATGTTAATAAGTCTAATTACTTGGGGTTTAAAAGAGGTAAACTTAAGTTAATTAGTGGGTTATTATTGCCATCTTTTATTCTTAATTATATGCTAATTAGGGTAAAAGAAAGAGGGTTTGAATAAAAAGAAAATAGAAAGAACAAGAAGAGAGAGGGGGATCGATCGAGACAAGAGGGAAACGAAGAGAAAACAAAGCCTTGAGAAAAATTGCTTGCTTGATCACGAATCTTCAGTGGAGGTAGGTTATAGTTTTTATACTATTCGTAGTAAACTCTTAATAGCGAATGATATGTACGGGTAGTATTGTAAACCCTTCTATATGCTTAATTGTATGCTTGCATGAATGTGATTATGTAATTGTGATAAAATAAGCATGATGAAGCTATTGAATCCTAAATCTTGAGAAACCCTAATCTACTTTGTTAATGATGATGCCTTAGTGTAAAAGAAGGCTTGATGAACGAAAGTAGTGAGATTAGGGGATCGAGTGTCACGTTCCGACACCAGGATAGAATGAGGATCGGAGTGTCACGTTTCGACACCAGGATAGTATATGGATCGGGTGCCACGTTCCGGTACCAAGATAGAATGAGGATCGGAGTGTCACGTTTTGACACCAGGATAGTATATGGATCGGGTGCCACGTTCCGGTACCAGGATAGAATGAGGATCGGAGTGTCACGTTCCGACACCAGGATAGTATATGGATCGGGTGCCACGTTCCGGTACCAGGATAGAATGAGGATCGGAGTGTCACGTTCCGACACCAGGATAGTATATGAGGGGCGGAGTGTCACGTACCGACACGAGAGGAATAAAGATAATGAATCTTGAAAGATGTTAATATACTCAATCTAATGAACCTAATTCCCAAACGAGTATGATGAGGAGGCGTGAGTCCTCATTGATGTGTTTGGTGTTGTAACCAAGGGTTATGGTAATTGTAAATGCTGCATGCTAAGGATATTAGTTGATTTTATGATGTTACCTGATATATACTGTTTTCTATTTTGAGTTGGCCGATGATACCTACTCAGTACTTGTGTTTGTACTGACCCCTCTACTTTTATGTTTTCTTCTTTGTTATTTGTGGAGTGCAGCAAACGTGTCGTCGTCTTCAACTCAACCGCAATTCTAGCCAGTCTTCAATTACACCGGATTTCAGGGTGAGCTAATGCTTCTAGCTTGGACTGGATCTTCTTCTTCATGTCTTGATGCCTTGAAGTTCCGGCATGGACTAGCTTTTACTTGTTTTAGCTTCTTAGAATACTCTTAGTTTAGTAATTTGATCACAGATGTTCTTGTGATGATGACTTCCAGATTTTGGGGATAATAATAGTTATTGATTTTATTAATGAGTTTAAGTCTTCCGCATTACTTTCTGTTGATATTATATTGAAATGTTAAGGTTTAGATTGGTTGGTTCGCTCACATAGGAGGGTAAGTGTGGGTGCCAGTCGCGATCCGATTTGGGTCGTGACAATTTTATTTTTTTATAAGAACCACAAGGTTCAAATGAAATCTATCTGACAATTTTTACAAATTTGCTATAAATCAATCATTATTTATAACATTACGATGTGATTCAATTATCTTCATCAGTGTATACTAAAATTTAAATTGTATACATACATAATTGTTGAGGTGTTTCTCAAAAAAATGAATTTTAGCTAATAAATATTTTATTTTCCCTGATTCGTTATGAAGCTCCGTCTTTTTCCAAAAGAAAAAGACTTGTTGGATCGTTTGGCATAGGGGTTTCAAATAGGCGGGTTGGGTTAAAATTGGAAATATTAAAATAGGTTTAAGTAGAAATCAGATTCAATCTTGACCTGCCCAAGTTTACTCTGGGCTCAAATGGTTGGGTTCAAATGGGCTAAAAATGAGTTGGGTCTTGACCCGTCAAATCTGATTCGATTAATCTGAATAATTTTAACATAGTGATATTTAACTTTTATAATCACAATTTTCGGAATTCAACTCAAGATTTTTTTTTATAAATAGATAAATTCTGAAAGATGTTAAATATAATAATTCATACTTTTAATATAGGAACATATCGTAGTAAAGAGTTCTAAAATGGGTTGAAATTGGATATTGAATTGGGGCTCAACAGAAGATTCTCTTTAAATGTGTTAGGTTTGAGTGGGTTGAGATTGAGCCCACTGTAAATTGTCTTGAGCCCCACCCTTAAAATTTTGGGCAGATTGGACGGGTTACCTATGTTTGAGTTCTTTTTTGACACCCCTAATTTGACATATAGAAAATTAGAGATACTAATTCAGGATAAAATATTAATTATTTTATTTTGTATTTGGTGAGAGGGGTTAAATTAGAGAACTTATCTAATTATACAAATATTTCTAATATATTTACTTTTTTCCTATATTTTGAAATAATTATATTCTGTATCATTAATTAGTGACGTCAAACTTGATTTTAAGTTAGATTCACCAAGATTCATATTTATTCTACCATATACACAAAAATAGGTAGAAAGGCGAGTATCAACGGGAGGGAAGCGGGCGAGATTTGTCTATGTATCTCAGATACATACAAATCACATTAGATACACACTAGATACATGTATACGTATGTATCTAGTGTATTTTACATGTATATGAGATATCAAACACATAGGAGAGTCGTGAGCAAGATGGGAGGGAGGCGAGGGAGAGTTGTCTATATATTCAAGATACATGCAAATCCACTTGGAACAGTATATCTAGAAAAAATTGCGCATAATTATGTGTATCCTGGAGATACGTACATCTGAACGTATCTGAATGTATCAAAATCTAGTCAAATTTGAAATATTATAAATTAGCGTTTATCGAAATAATTAACTCATAAACTAGTGAGATATCTTTAAGTTCTCCAATTAGATTAGTCTTGAGATTATTTATTTCCTCATTTAAATTAAAATAATAAAAAATAATAAGTGACTTGATAAAAAAATCCAAATTTTCTAGCAAGTGTGTCGTTTTTTTTACCCGATTGCCCAAGGCGAAATCTTTCGATACAAATGGAAGCAAAATAGGTTTATATGTTATTACATTAGTTTTATATTTCCATATTTTATTTTTAAAAAATATTATATGAAGCAATATTGGATGATATGTTTTCATTAACGTGTATTAGTCGTTGGTGGTGCACCCATCATTTTCAAATTCTGAATATAAGAATATAGGAACTTCAAAGTCATTAGGACAAATTCTGATAGTGTTGTTTGGTACAAAATATAAGATGGGATATGACAAACCAAATTATGTGATAGGATATATCAACAAGGTAATTACTCGAGTTATGGATAAGCTATCATGACTTGGGGTACCAAGTATTATATAGATGACTTTCAAAGATTGGCAAGAGCAAACCATCAAATTGAACCAAATAACTTTTTCACAAATGAACAAAGTATTCCTCCTCTTTGTTGTAAGTAACATCTTGACTTTTCTCTTTTTTCGAGTTCTATAAGTTAACTTCTTTTTTTAAGTTTTAACGAAACCCGCATCAGCTTTATTACAATCTTTTTACCATCATATAATCTTTTCTTTAACTCTACTTCGACATGACCGATGTCGTTCTGCAATCAGTGGCGTACACATATTTATTTCAAAGCAAGGACAAAAATGGCTCAAGAAAAAATCAATGAAGCTTTAGATTTAGACTTCCAAAAAATTGAAGCCCATTAATAGAGAACTTGAAGAAAAAAAAATTCAATTAAAAATATAAAATTTTAATTAAATTAAAAATAACAATGGTTTTAAATTGGATCGCTCACACCTTCATATTATTAAATAAAGTTTTATTCAATATTATATAAATGATTGTATTTCAACTAAGATTAACATCTTTAACAGAAAATGGAAAAAAAAAAAGAAGTTATGGGACCTTATATTTAAAATTGGTTTAAAACACTAATTCTGATGGAAGACCTTTGTTAAGAATACCAAAAAAATAAAATACATTGTAATAATTAATATTATATTAAAAAGGATGGTTCAAATAATATTAATAAAACTAAACTTAAATATATTCTACCATTCTCTCCGAAGAGATTTCAAATATTTTGAGAGGTATATATAATATTATCATTAAAAACACGACTATATATATATATATATATATATATATATATATATATATATATATATATATATATATATATATATATAAATTAGGAGAGAAGGAAAACAAAAGCGTACAAAAAAATTCCAACTCAGGATGCAAGACATCCAATGCAATGCAGCGCCATTGCCAATTGCACTAGAAGCACTTTCATTTAAGAGGTGTCCTTTTAATTCATATTACCATTCAATATTTTTTTTTATTTTTTTTATATGAGTATATTTTGTAAAACTTTTCAACGAAGGCGTGTCAGGTGACACCCTTAACATAAATCGACTCCTCTCTGCAATCATCATTGTAGCTTCATAGTTGTGGAGGTTGAAATTGATAGTGTGTCGGTTGTTTCCAAAGACACCGATCATGTCGAAGCGAGTGGATTTCTTTTATGATATGTCAAAATTTTCAGATTGTAATAATTAATGATGAGAATATTATAAAAATTTAAGAGAGAAAATTAAATTTATTCAGCGGAAAGAGAAAAGTCAAAATAGTAATTAATGGGTAGGCTTTGGTCCTTTTTTTAATTTATTTAATTGTGAATATTATCATTGACAAACAAATATATACAAACTAAAGAAGCAGACCACCTCCCAATAAGGGAGTCCAATCCAAAAGACTTCAAACTAGAAATAACTTATTACAACTTTCTATTGCCAATAAGTATATTCAGTTACAAAATTGTTGAATCAAATAAAGACATTTATTACTTTCGTCGTTTCATATTAGATGAACATCTTACTAAACTATTTGTCACATTTTACTTTATCATTTAAAAAATTAGGATAAAATTAATTAATTTTTTCTCATTTTACCCCTATAACTAATATGACCTTTGGATGTTTAAAAGGAATTTGAAAATCTATTTTTTTCAAAGACTAATTAATAAGAACAAGGACAAAATAATAAATTTAATTAATCTATTAATGATTCCTTAATCATAGTGTAAAAAAAGTCCATCTAACATGAGAAAGGAGAAAGCAACTTTTTTGAAGTCTTCATATGTTCAATCTGTTCTTAGTAATTGAGCCTACTCATCAAACTTATATTTAAAAAAATAACAATATTTATAAATTACGAGGAATAAAAAAAGAAAAACGACCAAAGTCATAAATTAATAACAATCTTGACCATTCTCTCATTTTAGACCAATAAATTGAATTTTCTTTCACTCAAGTTTTGATAAAAGTGCGTTATTTTTATTATAATCTAGAAATTTTGACTTATTATAAAACCCCATTTCACTTTACTTGGACATGATCAATTCATATGCAATTATCATCATACTACCGTCATTAGTGCACCCTCTGTCATACACTGCTTCATCGATGCAAGCTCAGCGTACTCTATGTCATACATTATTTCACCTCTTGGACAGTCGAAAGGTTGTTGCATCAATGCCCTCACCAAGTATGTGTACTAGATAAAATCACGCACAATGCTCATCAGTGATAACCCCCGCAAACTTATCTAATCTCATACTTAATATTAACTTACTAGTAAGTCAACAACTACAAACTCACGAGCAAAACATAAACCATCATTCAATGCTAAATTAGCAACATTCTTATTGCACCATGCGACCCCAATGTCCTTTACTATTTCCCTTATACTACTCCAACAAAAGTTATACAAAGAATCTTCAAGCGCAACAACTCAACTCAATAACTTACATAACACTAATAACAATCGAGCAGGTTCATTGTATCTCTTCATTGATGAGTGTTAATGTGTATATGAAGAGATACAACGAATGTGCTCGATTATTATTAGTGTTCTGTAAGGCATTGAGAAGATTTCTTGCGCACGAGGATCCATTGTATAACTTTTGCGGAGTAGTATAAGAGAAAATAGTACAGGCCATTGGGATTGCAAGGTGCAAGAAGAATATTGCTAATGAATTTTTCGCATTGAATGATGCTTTTATGTTTGTTTGTGAGTTTGAAGTTGATGATTTATCTACTAAGTTAGAATCGAGTAATGAGTTTACGGGCTTATCACTGATGAGCAATGGGTGTGATTTTACCTAGTACACGTGCTTGGTGAGGGCATTGATGCAACAACCTTTCGACTGTCAAAGAGATGAAGTAGTGTATTAGAGAGACTCAGAGAGTACATTTGATCAACTTGATTTTATTCTTAATGACTTCTACCGAGTCGATAGAATGGGCTAGGATTTCATTAAGACATAAGAGTGAAGATCTAATTTATATGATTTGAAAGAGATATTTGTCAAAATGATTATTAATGTATATCTTAGACTTTTTTATTCTTTTTTCCCCCAATGAATTAAGAATATTATCATTGGACAAACAAATACACGTAGTCTTATACTACTTTTCAGAAAGCCCAATCTAAAAGACCTCCAAAATAGAAGGAATTTATTATAATTTTCTATTACGAGTAATCCTACTTATTTAATTATAAAGTTGTCGAATCAAATAAAAATATTTATTAGCAATTTTTTGAGTTCTTCATATATGTTCAAACCTTTCTTTAATCTCCCTTTGTATTTGTATACTTGCACCTTTCTTGTCTACTTTTTTGGTTTCAAACATTGTAGGTTATTTGCTTTTTTATTTGTATTTATGTACTCCAAATAGTAACTTTAAATTCATTTATTTGCTTCAAGTGCCTTTCATTGATCTAAAATAAGTACTAGTAATCAACATCATCTTTTATAACCTAAACCTTGCTAAATTTTTAATGTTCTCTTTGTATCTGTTACATTATGTGAACGAGTAGTAATACGGATTAAAGTTAAGTATTAAAGTTCAATATTTAACAATTATGACAACAAAAAATTGTGATGTTTTGTTTATAGTCTCTCTGCATACATTATGACTATAAAATTTATCTCATGAATTAAATAATCGATACTATTATCAAATTGCTGCAATTAAATGGGTTATTTCATAGTAATGTTTTTTTCAAAAAATGATAAATACTTCAAAGATTTACAAAAATTATAAAATAAAAGTACTTTGTCATTAAAAAAAAAGATAAACCAAAAGTGTTAATTAAAATGATCTCATAATTATAGATCTATTAATGAAAATTTGCAACCATAAACATTTAAAGAGGGTGTACAAGGACCCGACCCTTTTAGGAGATATGTTTCGGGAATAACAACTTCTTTAAAAATTTAGTGAATTTTTAATTTTAGATTTCAAACCAATAAAAAGATCGTTTAAACAAAGGAAAAGGATATAGATTAATGGTGAAAATTAATAAAGAAGATAGATGGGTTTACCTTTTTAGACAAAAGACGTATGAAGGATCGATGTTTTTGAGGCCATCAGTAGTAAAAATCGCATGGACAAAACATGAATCATAATGATTATTACGTGTTTTTCCTTTTCAATTTGAAGCTTTAGTAGAGGAGATGACCTTTTATTGTTCTATCAAAACAGTGTTGGTAACCATTTCATCCATTGGAGCAAATATCTGCAAAAGAGGAAAAAGAGGTCAGAACAAATAAGAAAAAGGGAAAAATTCAAAAGATAGTGGATGTCCACCTCTGACACCTAAGAACGATGAATTGTGGTGTAAAGAGGACGAAGACATGATGATCCATCGCATAAGAAGGAGGAAGGTGGAATTAGTAAAAGCACCCTCCAGCGGCGACATTGGAGAGGAAAAAAAGAGAGTTCAATTAAAAAACCCTAGCTATCTAGGGTTATATTTAAGAAGGGGTGGTCCGTTCAATTTTTAAATTGGGCCCAATATTTTTTTGGGCTCATTGGGCTTATTTTGTACGAAATTACTAATTCAACAAAGAACTTCAAGCTTAGATATATAACAAAAATAATGGTTTATATGGCTTTGAAAATGAGAAAAGGACTATGTGAAGTTTATAAGAGTGGCAACACTAGCGTTAATCGATTTATTTGGATAAAACCAATAGATCTCGTTAAGAGTGATTTGGTTAAGGTTGTTATGTTGTATTTGGACAAGAGGATGAACGTGAGAAATAAGGGTGTTTAAGGGTGATGAAGTTCGAATAAGTGGGTCAGATCATCAGACTTCTCAGATTTGGGAATAAAATGACCTTTAATTTTACTGAAAAATGATAATGTTTACAATTTATCGGGAAAAAAGAAGATTAAAGCCAATACATTAATGAACATTCTCTATTTTTAGTCCTATAATTTGAGTCTTTTCTCTTAAGTTTTTAAAAACACACTTGTTCTTTTTATTAAAAATTTTAGCTTATCATAAAACCCTTTTTCACTTTACTTTAAATCATCGATGCCATATACATATATATAATTCAAATTTTGTTGATTATTGAAGGACCAAAGCTATTGACAGTGTAATTCTTTAGACTATTTGAATACTTAAAATTATATTTTAAGGTTTTTTATATAAAAATACATTATATAATCACCACTAGAACTATCTTCCCATTTTTTTAAGACAATTTTTATAACGACCTGTTTAGTCGTTTTGAGCAGAAAATTTTAGTTCTGGAAAAACAGGCTGAGACGACGGAACCCACGACGGCCCTTCATGGACACGACAGACCGTCGAGGGTGTCTCGTTTCAAAACACTTAGAAACTCTGAAAAATGGGTACTGAAATCGACTCTCTTAACTTCGTAACGGAATAGAAGGACGGACCGTCACAAGCGTAACGGACCGTCACAGACTCTTCAGAGAATTGAGTCTCTGAACTCTGTGACGGAGCAGCAGGACGGACCGTCGCAGGCGCGACGGGCCGTCACAGACTGCGTAATCCCAGGCTGGGTCGGATTTCTTTAAATGTTCTAAGGGACGTTTTTGACTATTCCTGCTTTAATTATAAAGTTAGTGAGTTAATGTTAATAAGTCTAATTACTTGGGGTTTAAAAGAGGTAACCTTAAGTTAATTAGTGGGTTATTATTGCCATCTTTTATTCTTAATTATATGCTAATTAGGGTAAAAGAAAGAGGGTTTGAATAAAAAGAAAATAGAAAGAACAAGAAGAGAGAGGGGGATCGATCGAGACAAGAGGGAAACGAAGAGAAAACAAAGCCTTGAGAAAAATTGCTTGCTTGATCACGAATCTTTGGTGGAGGTAGGTTATAGTTTTTATACTATTCGTAGTAAACTCTTAATAGCGAATGATATGTACGGGTAGTATTGTAAACCCTTCTTTATGCTTAATTGTATGCTTGCATGAATGTGATTATGTAATTGTGATAAAATAAGCATGATGAAGCTATTGAATCCTAAATCTTGAGAAACCCTAATCTACTTTGTTAATGATGATGCCTTAGTGTAAAAGAAGGCTTGATGAACGAAAGTAGTGAGATTAGGGGATCGAGTGTCACGTTCCGACACCAGGATAGAATGAGGATCGGAGTGTCACGTTCCGACACCAGGATAGTATATGGATCGGGTGCCACGTTCCGGTACCAGGATAGAATGAGGATCGGAGTGTCACGTTCCGACACCAGGATAGTATATGGATCAGGTGCCACGTTCCGGTACCAGGATAGAATGAGGATCGGAGTGTCTCGTTCCGACACCAGGATAGTATATGAGGGACAGAGTGTCACGTACCGACACGAGAGGAATAAAGATAATGAATCTTGAAAGATGTTAATATACTCAATCTAATGAACCTAATTCCCAAACGAGTATGATGAGGAGGCGTGAGTCCTCATTGATGTGCTTGGTGTTGTAACCAAGGGTTATGGTAATTGTAAATGCTGCATGCTAAGGATATTAGTTGATTTTATGATGTTACCTGATATATACTGTTTTCTATTTTGAGTTGGCCGATGATACCTACTCAGTACTTGTGTTTGTACTGACCCCCCCTACTTTTATGTTTTCTTCTTTGTTATTTGTGGAGTGCAGCAAACGTGTCGTCGTCTTCAACTCAACCGCAATTCTAGCCAGTCTTCAATTACACCGGATTTCAGGGTGAGCTAATGCTTCTAGCTTGGACTGGATCTTCTTCTTCATGTCTTGATGCCTTCAAGTTCCGGCATGGACTAGCTTTTACTTGTTTTAGCTTCTTAGAATACTCTTAGTTTAATAATTTGATCCTAGATGTTCTTGTGATGATGACTTCCAGATTTTGGGGATAATAATAGTTATTGATTTTATTAATGATTTTAAGTCTTCCGCATTACTTTCTATTGATATTATATTGAAATGTTAAGGTTTAGATTGGTTGGTTAGCTCACATAGGAGGGTAAGTGTGGGTGTCAGTCGCGATCCGATTTGGGTCGTGACAAACTTGGTATCAGAGTATTAGGTTCGTTGGTCTCATCACACAAGAACGAGTCTAGTAGAGTCTTAAGGAACGGTAGGGGGACGCCTTTACTTTTCTTTGAGAGGCTATAAAACTTTAGGAAAATTCCATTCTTTCATTCTTTCTTTCGTGCTATTACTTGGGTCCAATTGGTATCTAGGTGATACAAATTGGTATCTGACCATCTTCACTCTATTTCGCAGATGGTTAGAACAAGAGCAACAACCGCGCCAACATCAACATCAGCAAGACAAGATGCGTCTGAGCCAGCCACTGAGACTGTAGCTCTAAGAGGAGCAGTGGCAAGAGGCCGCGGTAGAGGTCGCGGGAGGACGTCCTCTAGAGGAAGAGGACGAACGCCTGGCCCATCTGGTACTAGGGCGGTGACTCCTCCACCGACTGAGGAAGTAGTAAGAGAAGGGGAGGATGGGGAGAATGAACAAGTGCAGAATGAGGAATTGCCACCCCAACCTACCCCAGAGATGATCAATCAGGTTCTTGCTTATCTTAGCGGGTTATCTGATCAAGGCCAAGCGCCTCCAGTGTTTTCTGCACCAGCACCTCAGGTTCCGGAGGTACAACATGCGGCTACTATGGCTCACCGCATGGATGCCTCATTAGAAATAGGCACATTTTCTCGTCTGACTACAGGGCCTATAATGACAAATGATCAGCATGAACTTTTCAGTAAGTTTTTGAAATTGAAACCTCCAGTCTTCGAGGGTGCTGAATCTGAGGGTGCCTACGATTTTCTGGTTGACTGTCATAAGCTACTACACAAACACAAGATGAGTATAGTAGAACGGTTTGGTGTTGAATTTGTGACTTATCAGTTTCAAGGGAACGCCAAAATGTGGTGGCGGTCACATGTTGAGTGTCAACCAATAGAGGCACCACCTCTGACTTGGGCATCATTCTCTAGCTTGTTTATGGAGAAGTATATTCCCCGGACTTTGAGGGATAGGAAAAGAGATGAGTTCTTGAGTCTAGAGCAAGGTAGGATGTCGGTGACTGCATATGAGGCTAAGTTTCGTGCATTATCCCGGTATGCCACCCAACTATGTTTCAGTCCACAAGAGCGGATTCACCGTTTTGTGAAGGGGTTGAGATCAGAGTTGCGGATTTCAGCCTTAGAGGTAGCGGCTACAGCGAAATCTTTTCAAGAAGTGGTAGACTTCGTGATAGAGGTAGAGGGAGTGAAGCCAGATGACTTCATCATGGCAACGACATCAAAAAGGTTTCGAAAGGGAGGTGAGTTTAATGGTTCTTACTCTAGAGGACAGGGTTCAGGAGGTTACTCAGTTCGACCAATTCAGTCTTCACTACAGACTGTAGTTGGGGGTCCATCTCAGACCGGTCAACACTTTTCTGAGAGACCTATGCTTGAATCCGGAGAGTGTTATGGATGTGGGAAGACTGGACACATTAAGAGGTATTGTCCAAAACAGAGTTACAGACCTCCAAATGTTAGAGGTAGAAGTGGTTATGGAAGAGGCCGTCATTCTGGAGGACGCGGTGGTCGAGGTAATGGTGGTCACCAAAACGGCCGGGGTGATGGGAAAACTGGAGCCACTACATCACAACATGGTAGGGTCAACGGACAGACAGGTGAGAGGGCCCATTGTTATGCTTTCCCTGGGAGATCTGAAGTGGAGACATATGATGCTGTCATCACAGGTAATCTTTCGGTTTGTGATTGCATGGCTTCTGTATTGTTTGATCCTGGATCCACATTTTCTTATGTATATTCTTCATTTGCTACTGGTCTTAATTTACCTTGTGAAATACTTGACATGCCTATTCATGTTTCTACTCCGGTGGGTGAGTCTGTGATAGTTGAAAAAGTATATAGGTCTTGTTTGGTGACTTTGTGGGGAGCAACACTTATGTAGATTTGGTTATCTTAGAAATGGTTGACTTTGATGTAATTCTGGGTATGATTTGGCTTTCTCCGAATTTTGCGATCTTGGACTGTAATACTAAAACTGTGACGTTAGCCAAGCCTGGGACAGATCCGTTAGTGTGGGAGGGCGACTACACTTCTAATCCGATTCGTATCGTCTCCTTTCTTCGTGCTAAGAAAATGGTTAGTAAGGGTTGTCTAACTTTCTTAGCACATCTCAGGGATGACACTACTCAAGTACCTTCAATTGAGTCGGTTTCGATAGTCCGCAAATTTTTAGATGTGTTTCCTGCAGACCTTCCTGGTATGCCACCGGATAGAGATATTGACTTCTGCATCGATCTTGAACCGGATACTCGCTCCATTTCTATACCCCCTTATAGAATGGCTCCCGCGGAGTTAAGAGAGTTAAAGGCACAACTTCAAGAGTTGCTAAGCAAAGGCTTTATTAGACCAAGTGCATCTCCTTGGGGTGCTCCTATGTTATTTGTGAAGAAAAAGGATGGGAGTTTCCGGA